CGGCAGGGGCTCCAGAGCACTGACATCAGGGCAGGCTGTTACGAACCAGGGCACAAGCCCCCAACTGGCTGCGAGCTCTAGACTTAGATTTCCCCACGTGTGAACTCCTCAGGCACTAACAGAGTCACAGCAGTCCCCTTAGGCACCCAGGAGAGTATCTCGGTGATAGATGGTCCCTTATACCAAGACTCACAGCAATATTCAGGTTACCTCCAGGCCCAAAGGACTAGTCACTTACCGCACGTCAATTGCACCTTAGATCTCACACCAAAGACAATGCTTGTAGCCAATCCTATAATAAACGATCTTCAGCTTTATTAACAGGCAAAGGAAATGAGAGTTATTGACCAGGTTAAAGCAGGTAATGAGTTCCAATCGTCAGTTTCCAAAGGTAATAGACATTTCCGTAATAAGCAAGTTCTGTATGTCCTTTAGGCCTAACTCAGGCTAAGCACTGGGAATCTTTTGCTTATGCCTAGAAACCTTGCCCCCCACTGTCCAAGCAACATGGAGAACCAGTTCCTCCTTGTTAGGAGTTTTTAATGCCTGCCCCACTTCTGCTTTGAGCTGCAACTTCAGCTGATGGGAGGAATTCACTTGCAAGACTACTCTTTATGGGGGGTGGGAGTCAACCCCAGTGTTCCACTGTTGTCAGCTGGTGCTGATGGGCCCTCCTTGGCGGGCAGGCCGGAACACCTCCTGTTGGAGACCAGCACTTCACACTCATTAATGGCGCGCTCCTGGCTGGTGGATTTACACTGTTACAGAGGTTCATAATACAACTGCTCAAACATGACCTTGCAGTGCGGGAGGCAGCTGTTATCAGTGAGCTTAACGCAGGCAGCAACTCACAAGCATTCAATAACTGCTAACCCCTGAACATGCCAATACCTATTTTAACAATACCAACACGCAGGGGCCAGACTGATCCCAGCGAGGTATTTGTCCATGTTCAATGGAGGCATGAGCTGGCACCTGGTCTGCCAGCATCACAGATGGTTCAGATTGACACTGTCACGAGAGAGCTCACAGCTAGTAGGTGACTTCAGGGAACACGGAAGCAGAATGGCCACGTGATTGCCTCTAAGAGCCTCCCTGTTCCGCAAGCAAAGGCAGGCAGAAGATGCTGGAGGTGACCCGCTGGCTAGGGAAATGGTGTAGCATGGAGGGGATGGGTTTAGTGGCACCTACAGGGAGAGGAAGCTGTATAGTTTGGATGACCTCCACTTCAGGAGACAGGGAACCAAGCAGTTCAGGGATAGGCTGACTAGAGTAGTCTGGAGGGCGTTAAAGAGGGAGGGTAAAAGAAGGGACGATCTGAGCACTCGTTTAGCACATTGAGATGTTGAGAATAAAATTAACCAAGGAACTGAAGGACACGAAGAGAAGAAATGCTTTAATTCCCTACGCACTAATGCCAGGAGCCTGGGTAACAAACGAGGAATTGAAAGTGTTCATATGAGCCTAAATTTCATCTCCCGGGTATTACTGAAACCCGGTGGCATGGGGCCCATGAGTGGAATGTTAAAATCAATGGTTCTAACCTATTTAGGAAGGATCGAGTGGGGCTATTAATTGGTATCTGCTACAGCCCACCAAATCACAGTAGGGAACAGCATGAGTGGTTCCCTATGCACCTAGCTCTAATGCAGGAAAAGATGCTGTGTGGTCATGGGGGACGTCAACCTGAGTGACATGCTGGAAGTCTCACGTTGCCCATACTTAAACATTCTTGGTACTTCTAACTATAAATGACAATTTCCGAACTCAAACAATGTTGCTTCTAACACAGGGGAATTCTATATTAGACCTTGTCCGAATAGCTAAAGAGGAACTGATCACAGAACTAAAAACTTAATGGTAGAAGGACTCATGATTTGATCACATTTATAGTGTGCAAACAGAATAAAGTCTACAACAAAGAGAGAGAGAGAGAGACAGACAGAGAGACAGACTTGGTGCTTCCAAAGGGCCAATTTCACAAAGCTAAAAACAGCTAGGAGCCAAATCAGCTGGGAGAACGAATTTAATCAGAACAATGTGAATAATAATTGGGAATTGTTTAAGAACACTTTACTAGATGCCCAAAAAGCCATACTTGAGGGAAAAGGCGATATTGGTCAAATCAACCTGGCTTAGAGGGCAAATGAGGGCAGCTATAAAAAATAACCATGGAAAACAGGGGAACTTGCTAGTAATTAATATAAAGTTAGAAGCTAGGAATTGTAGAAAATTGATAAGGGAAGCAAAGGGACACAAGGAGAAATCTATGGCCAGCAGAGTTAAGGACAATAAGGAGGAGTTTTTTTACGGTATATTAGGAACAAAAAGAAGCCATATTGTACAATTACCCGGCTGGAATTGCTTCTTTTCCAAATGTAGCACCAGTTGGCTGATGTATTGGCCAGGGCCTTTGAGCATCAGACTGGGACACAGCAGGGTGGATGTCCCCCAGCCTGCCCCTGGGCCCAGTGAGGGGGAAATGCTGCCATCCTGAGGGAGCAGCAGGTCATGCTTCCCTTGCACAGGGGTAATGATGGACTGTGGAGAATCCAGTCTCGAGAGCCCAGCACTCACCCATGCGGCAGTCTCCTCCCGACACGTGCGGAGCTGTGAGATTCCTAAGCCAGGGGGCATTCCCCTGCCCGTTTCCCCCAGCAGCACAGGGCAGCATGAGCTGGTGTTTGATTTGCCTAGGTGGGGAGGAGCGGGTGTAGGACCTGCTCAGAGCAGGCTGGGAGCTCGACCGCCTTGCCCTGGCCCCATCAGTTACAGCTCCTCTGCATTCAGCTCCTTTACACAACTGTGGTTTTGCTGCTGCTTTTGCAACCAGTGCACCAGCTCTTCTGCCATTTCCCTTTCCTGAAGCCACCACCCCAGCCCCCCAGCAGCTGAAAATTGTAACAGAGCCCCCTCCACCACATGCCTCAGCAGCTACATTCTCCATTTAGGGGTCATCTCCCCCACACACACACACTTTCTGCCCGCCGGCACAGGGCCCTGCCCGCTCCCATTCTCAGGGCACAAGACTGGAGATTTACAAAAACCCAGGGGGCAGATTGCAATCCCGCACCTACCCCTGGGCTGCTTGCCCTGCAGGCTGGGCAGCTCTGCCAGTGCAGCAGGAACCACTCACACGCCGCGCCCGGCTAGTTTATTAAGCTGTGGGGCAGTTTGGTGCTGTGGAAGGGATTCGCATTGACTGTGCGGCAGCACCCCCACCAAGTCAGCTTGGGGGCTGTGTGGCTGACATGCTGGTGCCTTAGCACTGCCTGCAATGGGGAGTCACCCATGGGGCAGGGGAACGAAACGGCCACACACCCAGCGCAAAGGCCACCAGCCATCACAGCTGAGAGGGGCTGGACTCTGCCACTGGGAAGGGAAAGTCTCCATCTCACACCCATCTCCTGCAGCCTCTAGTGGAGCTCACGGGTTCCTGCACTGCCTGAAGCCTTCTTCCCCATCGTTACCAGCTAGCCCCAGTGGGAGCCCGCCTAGGGCACTGTGGTCCAGGGCTTGCACGTCACGCTCCCCCCGCCTCCAGCAGCAAGACTGGTCTAGCTTCAGCAGACCGCGCATGCCCACAAAGGCCTGGCCCGGCTTTCCCCAGACTTACAGGCTTTTAGCTGCTCCTCCGCCGCCAGGAGTTTCTTCTTTCCTCCATGGCCCATTGCAAGGCAGCAGCAGCACCAGCAACCATGGACAGTCCCAGACAGGAGGTCAAATCCTCAGCTGTGGGGACGGGCTGGGAACAGCTGGAGGCATCCCTGCCTCCCCCTATGCAGCAGGCAGGTGGGGGAGCACAGCGCTGCTGGACAAGCTGTACCCAGCCAAGGGACTCACCCTGGCCAGGGCCAGCGAAGCCGGCTCCCTGGCTGGCTTGCGCAACTGGAGGGCAGCAGCATCTGGTACCACGTGCATACGGCTGGAGCACCAAGGAGCATGGAAGGTGCAGGCTACCCAGGCCCTGCCTCCCAGCACAGACCCAGCAGGCTCCCCACTCAGCTCCCACTGCCCCCACCCGCCAGCCAGGCATTCCCCAGCCCGGGCCCTGCCAATGCCCAACACTCTACCCACTCAGCCGGCTGACCCCTCCCCAGCTGCCCACACAGCCCAAAGCAGCCCTCCCCCTCTCACACACCTGTCGCACACAATACCTACAAAACCCTTTATTTAAAAGCTGTCCAACACACCCCCAGAAGGGTTCCCATGCTCCCCACCCCCTCCCCCCAGTGCCAGCTCCCTGCCAGGCCTGGTTACCCTGCCCCTTTGCTAGTCTTGGCCTACCAAGCATCCCTAGCTCAGGGCTGCCCCCATCCCAGGCACACAGCCTTTGGCAGAGGGCTGCAGGGGAGCGGTGGCCAGGCCAGAGGAGCGCCATGTAGAGGCCCAGCCTGGGCTGGCAGGGAGCTGGCTCTCAGGCCCGGCTGTGTCGCAACCCCCCCAGCAGGGGCAGCTGGGATGCTGCAGGATTATGTTCAGACTCTCCCGATCTCCCTCTGAACGCCCCGTGGCTCCCAGTTCCAATCTGGGAGGAAGGTGGCCGGAGAGGGGGTGCCGGGCAGAGGCTGCTCCTGCTTTGTCCTACAAACCATCACTCCATGTCAGCGAGAGGCCAGTAAGCCCAGCCATGCAGAGCGGCAGCTGAGCAGCACCAGCCTGCCGCTTTCCAAGCAACGCTGCACAGAAGGTGCCACTGGCCAGTCTGCCCCTCAGGAGCCCCCCACCGGGCAGAGGCTGGGGCACTGCCGTGAAGACAATGGCCCCTGGCAGCACCCCTCGGGTTCATTTGCTGTTGTCACCCACAAGGGCCCAGCTGCCCTCTGCCTGGGGCCAGCTTGGCTGGGCGGCGTCAGGCTGGGCTCTGGGAATCCCCAACGCAGGAGCTGCTGCAGCAGCCAGTGGAAGCAGATTGAGTTTGGTTTCCCTCCCCCCCCAACCCATGGAGCGGAGTGACCGGGAGCCCCCACGGCAGGGTGGCAGATCCACGCACAGCACAACACCCCCCCTCTCAGGAGTCCAGCTTGATGAAGACCTTGGGCCGGGAGAAGATTTTGAGGGCCTCATCGATCTGCGACAGCTTCTTCTCCAGCTCCGCCCGCCTCTTCTGAATACTCAGGGTGTCGGCCCGCACCGGCAGCATCACAAGGTCCTTTACCAGCTGCTCCTGGCCTGTGGACAGAAGGGGGCTGGTGAGAGGGGGCACGGCCAGGCCTCTCCTGCTCTGCCACTAAGCACTGGTTCTCACGCCCCAGAGATCAGCTAACTAGACATTATGCGATCCCATGGGGCAGCTGATCGTGCTCCAGCCACCATGAAGACCCACGTGCACAGAGGCAGCACGTCACAGCGGGGAAGAAGCCGCCCCGCACTAAGTGAGACCCACCCTGGGATATTGTGTCCCGCTCTGGGCATCGCACTGCAGCAGGCCCTTCAGCTGGGGGCAGATGGGGCAGCGTGACTAGGCTGTGACTGGGGCAGGGTTGGAAGTCCGTGACTGTCCGGGGGCTTGGCGTGGGGGAGGGAGACTGGCACTGTGAGGTCACCAACTCAGTGGATTCTAGAAGAGCGACACCCCGTGGCCGAGGCTAGTGCTGCAGTAAGCAGAGCTGTCCCGTCACAGCATGTGCCACAGCAGAGCAGCACTGGCTTCTCTCTCTCCACCCATCTGGGGAGCCTCTCCAGCAGGAGCCAGTGGTTCTCCTCCCCTTACTCTGCTGCAGGTTGTTCAGGGTTGCCAGCCGCTCGCTCTCTGGCATCATGGTGTGACCCGGTGGCATGTCAGGGTCGGGCAGGTTCCGCTGCCGTTCCTCCATCTCCCTGCGCCAGTGATCCTTCCGCTCCAGCAGGCTGCCGAGGGAGAAGGAGGGTGGTGAGGGGCGGGATCCAGGCAGGGCCAGACGCCCGGGGGCAAGAGGCTCAGACGGGACGAGCAGAGGGGAAAGGGATGGATGCCAGGCTCACAGATACTTGACTTGTCACCCTACTGAGTGACCGACAGCCCCAGAGACCACGGGCCTGACACAGCACGGGCAGTGCGGGCTTCCCACACATCAAGGTGCCCACAAAGGGCCTGGGCCTGATCTGGAGGAATCAGCCCCGTGGCGTCTCCACACAGCCCTAGGCCCGTCCAGGGCTCAGCAGTGCGCCACAGGGTGCTTCCGGGCCGCGCAGGGCTTGACCACACGCACCAAACTCACTGCCCATGGGGCACTGGGCAGCAAAGTCCTGAGCTGGATCTGGCCCAATGTCAGAGCAAGAGGTTCTGTCTCCCATTCCCAGCCGAGCCAGCCCACCCCTCTGTCCCCCTCCAGCCGTACAATACAGAAACCATCCAAGCCGCTGGCCTGGGTCGAGCGAGGCAGGGAGGGGGGAGCTTTGCTCTGTCCCCTACGGGTGTCGCTCGGGAGGCCCCACCGGCCGTTGTGGGACATGCTCGGCACTTAGGGGAAGTGACTCAGGCACCGAGGAGCCTTTCAATGAGTCTGAGGCTCCTAAGTCACTTTGGCGCCCATTCCCAGCAGGGCTGAGCACCAGCAAGTCAACTGGAGCACCTGAGACTCAGCAGCTCCACTGCGCAGAGCCAGTAGGCCGCACAGCCCAGCCTCCCCTGGCCCCGCATGCAGCAGCTTCGTCGGGGATTTCATTTGACCCTCTTGGGCCAAGCTCATTGCAACTGCGCTGACCCCGGGAGCTCACTACGCAGAGCAGCAAAGGAGGACGCTGCTGCAAGAGAAGCCGCTGCCGTCCCACGCACGGAGCAGGAAGTGGGTTCAGGCTTGTTTGTGACAGAGGCGCTGGCTGGGCAGGAGCCTACGTACTACTGAGGCACGTGGCCCTTCTGCTTGGCGTTGTACTCCTCCTGCTCCCGGTGCTTCTGCTCCAGCGCCTCGGCCAGCGACTGCAGCGAGCGCGAGCGCCGCATGGGGGCCCGTTTGGCGGTGCGGGCGTTGTGGCTTACGAAGTCGATGCTGGTGCCTTCTACCTGGATCTGGAAGGAAAGGGGGCAGCGTGAGAGGTCAGGCAGCAGTGACCCCCATGCACAGCATGGTGCCTTCTGAGGCTGGAGTGAAGGAACCTGTGCCGAGCAAGAGGCAGGAGCGATTCTGGAGCGCCAGGAGCCAGCGAGCAGGGCGTGCAGTCCCTCACCTTGGCATCAGTGCGCTGTGCTCCTGCAGCCTCGGTGTCGGTCACCACTCTCGTTTTGGCAGGGCTGGGCGACAGCGAACGGCGTGGCTGGACCCCAGAGCCGCAGCGGGAATATGCCCGGAGGAATTTCTGAGACTCCGGGTTGGGCGGGGGAGAGCTCTCCTGCAAAAGGCAGAGAGAGAGACATTACTGCCAGGACAGGGCAAACCACACGGCAAAGCCCCTCAGAGCCCAGGATCACCCAGGAGTGCCATGGCAGATGGGCAACCCCAGGCCCTGCTGCGGCATGCCAGGGAAGGTCTCCTCGAGGAGGCAGCCAGGCAGGGAACTCAGCCAGCAGCGGAGACGTGGAGCCAGATCCCGCCAGTGTAAATCTGCATTAGGCCATTGAATTCAATGGAGTGACACTGGAGTATGAGAGAGGAATCTGCAGGAGCAAACCCATGGGCTGCAGTGAATTTAGCACTCGACATACAGTGCGCTGAGTGCCCGAGACAGGCTAGGCTTCACACTGCAGCCGGCTGTGGTGGGGACTAGAATGCCTGTATGACAAAGTGGGAATTTTCTCTAATCTTTTTATGATGCCGCTGCGTGCCTCAGTTTCCCTCTGCACTTTGCATTGTCACCCAGTGGTTGCAACAAGGGCAACTAGGGCAGAGCGGGACTGAGGGGTGTGTGTCACTGGCTGAGGTGGGATGAATGGGGCATTAAAGGACTGGCTGACACCGACCCATATCAGTGGAGGATCCAGAACGACAATGGGAGCCCCAAGGGCCGAACGACTGACACCTAGCATGGGAAATCTCCAGCCGGAACACGTGACCTCCGCGTGCGTCGTCAGGGAGGGGAGAAGTGGTGGCTTTTGGGGAGACTCAGCAGCTCTCTCCGGAGATGGAGACGGAATTAACAACAGCGTGGCTGGGTGGAGTGCGGGCGTGGCCAGGACGGACCATGTCAACCTTCACTTCTCTGTGCTGACCTAAGGAATTCCCCACAGTAACCCCGGCTCTGCTGTGAAAAGGTTGCCCGGTGTCACTGCAAACACGCCCTGGGAGCGCTGCGCCCTGAAGGGGACAGTACAAGCCTCCCACAGGAGCCTGGAACGCGGCAGGAAGCCAGAGAGAGAGACAGGGGTCGCAGGTGCCAAGGGCCCAGTTTTGGAGGTCAATTGCCTGTCCCGTGGAGCCGTGTGGGTCCTTGGGGCCCGGCGTGGCATAGACAGACCCTGTGAGTCTGTGACAGCCTGTTAAAATGCCGAGTGTCTGTAAGTCACACTGGGTGGGTCTGAGCCATTCGGAGCCATGACCCTTCGGACTGAGGGGCTGGGTCACGCTTCCCTTTCGATCTGGTTTCATGCATGAGACCAGCGACCCATCCTGCAGAGGGGGACAACACAGCTGCCATTAAATGCATGGGGTGGACTGGTCCGATTCCATAGGCGAGAGCAGCAGGCACAGACCACAGACCACAATGGCAGCTTTCTAGGCAGCGCCTCAGCGATGGCGCCATCTAGCAGCGTCGGAATGTCCCGCTCGCCTCATGCCAACGAGCGCTGCCTCAGACTCCCTGCTGGAGCAGCCACCTGCCGAGGGGGAAGCGTCTGACCCCATCTCACGACAGCCACAGTGCAGAACCACAGCGGGGATCCCACTTCTTCCCAACTTCCCCATCACACTTTAACCAGATGTTAGCCACCAGTCTCCTCGCCCGAGCCAGGTATTCCCGCCCAGGACATGGCTCCGCTCTCCGCTCTCACAGCGGCATGGGAAGGGACACTTCCATCCCAGGTGCTACTAAGCAGGGCTCTGCAGATCTACACGTGGTCTCCCTGCAAACCCCAATCGAGGGCAGCCGGGGCAATGGCCCATGAAGGGCTACGGGGCAGTGCACAGGTACCTGCAACTTGGCCTTCACCTTGGACTCCACATTCTCATACTTCTGGGATTTCCACAAGGCCTTCATGGGTTTGGGCTGGCTGTGCTCCCGCACCAGCTCCTTCTCCTTGCATTTCCTCTGGATCTCCCTCATCCGCCTCACATTCTCCTTCTCGTGGTCCTTGGCCTCTTTCCCTGCATGCCCCGGGGAGAGACTGCTTTTACCAACAAACCCTCCCAAGCCATAAGTGGGTGCCCATGACCTTTGGCATCAGAGACCAAGGCCTCTGCTACCTAAGCTACTCCGTTCGCTGCAAGCAGCAGCAAGCTGTTACCCTCCCTGTGTGCCAGCCACCAGGGGGCAATAGAATCATACCCACTGAGCCCCTTGTAAGCACACATAAGACATTGGCTTTTCTGGGGTGACTCAATTGTGCCATGACACAGAGCAACTCACTAGCACCCTCTGCTGCTGGCCCTCAGAGCGGTGCAGACAAGCATCACACAGCTGATCAGTGGAGCCAGACGACTCCCCCACTCACAGCAGGAGGTGGGGCTGGTTTGAATCCTAGCTCTCTAGTTTGGGATCATAGAATCATAGAATATCAGGGTTGGAAGGGACCTCAAGAGGTCATCTAGTCCAACCTCCTGCTTAAAGCAGGACCAACCCCAACTAAATCATCCCAGTCAGGGCTTTGTCAAGCCGGGCCTTAAAAACCTCTAAGGATGGAGAGTCCACCACTTCCTTAGGTAACCCATTCCAGTGCTTCACCACTCTCCTAGTGAAATAGTGTTTCCTAATATCCAACCTAGACCTCCCCAACTGCAACTTGAGACCATTGCTCCTTGTTCTGTCATCTGCTACCACTAGATCTATCCTCTTTGGAATCCCCCTTCAGATAGTTGAAAGCAGCTATCAAATCCCCCCTCATTATTCTCTTCTGCAGACTAAACAATCCCAATTCCCTCAGCCTCTCCTCATAAGTCATGTGCTCCAGCCCCCTAATCATTTTTGTTGCCCTCCGCTGGACTCTTTCCAATTTGTCCACATCCTTCTTGTAGTGTGGGGCCCAAAACTGGACACAGTACTCCAGATGAGGCCTCACCAATGCCGAATAGAAGGGAATGATCACGTCCCTCGATCTGCTGGCAATGCCCCTACTTATACAGCCCAAAATGCCATTAGCCTTCTTGGCAACAAGGGCACACTGTTGACTCATATCCAGCTTCTCGTCCACTGTAACCCCTAGGTCCTTTTCTGCAGAACTGCTGCCTAGCCACTTGGTCCCTAGTCTGTAGCAGTGCATAGGATTCTTCCGTCCTAAGTGCAGGACTCTGCACTTGTCCTTGTTAAACTTCATCAGATTTCTTTTGGCCCAATTCCTCTAATCTGTCTAGGTCCCTCTGTATCCTATCCCTACCCTCCAGCATATCTACCATTCCTTCCAGTTTAGTGTCATCTGCAAACTTGCTGAGGGTGCAGTCCACACCATCGTCCAGATCATTAATGGAGATATTGAACCAAACCAGCCCCAGGATCGACCCTTGGGGCACTTAAGATCAGCAAGGATTTCACTGTTAAGCCAAGCTGGTCGCCTGCCATATTTACTGTTCTTTCTACACATCAGGATGGTTTGTTCCTGCAACCGCAATAAGGATTCTTTAAAATGCAGCCAGCTCTCCTGGACTCCTTTCCCCCTCATGTTATTCTCCCAGGGGATCCTGCCCATCAGCCCTGAGGGAGTCAAAGTCTGCTTTTCTGAAGTCCAGGGTCCATATTCTGCTGCTCTTTCTTCCTTGTGTCAGGATCCTGAACTCGACCATCTCATGGTCACTGCCTCCCCGGTTCCCATCCCAGGTTCCCATTTTGCTTCCCCTACTAATTCTTTCCTGTTTGTGAGCAGCAGGTCAGGAAGAGCTCTGCCCCTAGTTGGTTCCTCCAGCACTTGCACCAGGAAATTGTCCCCTACACTTTCCAAAAACTTCCTGGATTGTCTGTGCACCGCTGTATTGCTTTCCCAGCAGATATCGGGGTGATTGAAATTCCCCATGAGAACCAGGACCTGTGATCTAGTAACTTCTGTTAGTTGCCTGAAAAAAGCCTCATCCACCTCACCCCCCTGGTCTGGTGGTCTATAGCAGACTCCCACCATGACATCACCCTTGTTTCTCACACTTCTAAACTTAATCCAGAAACTCCCAGGTTTTTCTGCAGTTTCATACCGGAGCTCTGAGCAGTGATACTGCTCTCTTACAAACAATGCAACTCCCCAACCTTTTCTGCCCTGCCTGTCCTTCCTGAACCGTTTATATCCATCCATGACAGTACTCCAGTCATGTGAGTTATCCCACCAAGTCTCTGTTATTCCAATTACATCATAATTCCTTGACTGTGCCAGGACTTCCAGTTCTCCCTGCTTGTTTCCCAGGCTTCTTGCATTTGTGTATAGGCACTTAAGATAACTCGCTGATCGTCCTGCTTTCTCAGTGTGAGGCAGGAGTCCTCCCCTCCTGCTCGTGCTTCCTCCCAGTATCCTACTTCCCCACTTCCCTCAGGGCTTTGGTCTCCTTCCCCCGGTGAACCTAGTTTAAAGCCCTCCTCACTAGGTTAGCCAGCCTGCTTGCGAAGATGCTCTTCCCTCTCTTCGTTAGGCGGAGCCCGTCTCTGCCTAGCACTCCTTCTTGGAACACCATCCATGCGGAGACTGTCCCTCCCCCTCCACTACCCGACAGCCCAGAGGGCTGGGCCAATGCTCTAGCTCAGTATCAAGCCACAAACACCCCAGCACCCAGGGAGAAAACTACTGCCAGTCACTCCTGCCCCAGGGGGAGGGTGGGATGGGGAACCACAGGCCTTCCCAGTGCGTGTGGGACTGTCAACAGCAATGCCAGACTCTATGTCGGAGCCGTCTGCCCTTCCCGCCTGAGGGCCAACCAGACTGATTCAGAAAGGTCCAGGGGCCACAATCGCTACTTTAGGGCAGATTCTCTGTCTTCAGCTCAGGTTGCAGAAATTACCCACAATCCTCCAGACAGGGGAGTTCCCCACTGACACTGGGGACAGACAGCGGCTGGTGCACACTGCACTCTGGCTGTCCTCTGCGGACACAAGTTAAAGCAGTCCCCAGGCTGCCGAGTTGGGGCAGCAAACAGGGGAGCCAGAACTGGGTCATAGATTCCAAGGCCAGCAGAGCCCTCCTTTGCAAGGCACTCCCCATGGCTGTTCTCATTATCCACGCACCTGGATCATCACCTTGAATCTACTTGGCTCTTGGCCTCCATGACGTCTTGTTGCAGTGAGTTCCACAGGCTAATCGTTTTGTGTAAAAACCCACTGCCTTTCATCAGCTTTAAGTGTGCTGCCTCTCGATTTAACCACCATCCTCTCAACCTTGAGCCAGGGTAAACTGAAGTGCTTGATTTGCTCCCGGACCGCCCCGCAGCCTGTCCTCCACCAGCAGGTCTCCTCTCCACACTCCCTTCCTAGCCCCAGACAAAGGCCATGCTGCAGTCAGGGTCAGGCTATGACCTCAATAACCCCAGGGTCGGGACGCTGCTCCCATTGCAGCACACCCAGAGCCGATCAGCCCCCAACAAATCCAACCCTTGGTTACTCGGTTGGAAATCCCCACCCTAAGGCCTTGCCACTGCGTCCAATCAAAGTATCTGTCCTGCCCTTAGCCACGGGCAGCTCCAGCTGCTCAGTTGCACTTACTTTTCAGGGGCGGCTCCCTGTAGAGAGAGATCCCCTCCAACTTCAGCAAGACCCCGACCGTCCCCTTCTGCCCCTTCTCCAGGATGGCCTGACCGTTGGGGCGGATACGCGGGGCAGGATGGGCAGGGCGGGCACTGTAGCAGGTGGGGTACAGGCTGGGATCTGGGGCTAGAGGGCCCGAGAGGAAGTCCAGCTTCAAGGCATTCCCTTCCAGCCTCCCTCGAGCTAGAGAGAGACAGCGTGAGTCAAGATGTGCAGCACCGCCCCATCGCTTTCTCCCTCCACGCCCTAGGCTTGCTCCAGGCTAGCCCCATTCCGGCCAAGGCGGCCTCAGATGAGGCTGGAGAGCCCCCTGGCCTCCCCAGCCCACCTTCTCCTAACTTCCAACCCCTCTGCCCCTCATGGACGCTGCTCCTAACGTCAGCCTGGTCCTGGAGCCAATGGGAGCTGGGAGCACTCAGCATCTCAGAGGAGCCAAGCTTCTTTGCAGGGAGAAGCAGGCCCACTCCGTGCCGTTTGGAGTAGAGCGAGCCGGCTCTGCAGGAGCCCCCAGCCCCTGCCTGGACTTGAGGAAAGCCAGGTCAACGAACAGCCCTCTGGCCTGGCACCTCAACGGGCCACCATGCTGGCCCCATCCATGGATCCAGTGTGATTGTGCAGCAAAATGGGACTACGGAAGGGAGAACAAGCCGCCCGTGACTACGTAGGACCCCATCCATGCTGCATGCTCCACTGGCACTCACCTGATAGGGGGCGTTTGTAATAGTCTGGGAACAGCGTAGGGTCGGGAGGGATGGGTCCCGAGATCCTGGAAGGTCCCTCAGACATCTCGGCCACGGCTCTGCGGCTGCAATCGACAAGCGGACACCATTGGGAAAAGAAATCAGCTGGGTTTTTCCTGGGAATCATTTACCGGCCAGGGTGAATATTTAAATACATCCAGGCTGCTGCTCCTCGCTGGAGACGCACCCAGATAGGGAAAACACACACCCGCCCTCCAATCTGGACACTGACCAAGCTGCAGGCATCGCTTGGGAACCCCCACCAGGCAGTGACTGACCAGCACGACTCCCCCACGCAAAGCGTCCATGTTTGCTGCTGTACTCTGCTAAGCTAGGAGTGGACGACGGGATGGATCACTTGATAAATTGCCCTGTTCTGTTCATTCCCTCTGAAGCATCTGGCACTGGCTACTGTGGAAGACTGGATACTGGGCTAGATAGACCTCTGGTCTGACCCAGTATGGCCGTTCTTATGGCATCTCCCCTTCGCCAGACGTCGCTTGGCTCACGCGCTGTCACCATGGGTCTGCTCTGCAGCGTGACTGTAAGAACGGCCCCGTCTCACTCCCCGGGAGTATCAGAGGCTGAGCTGCTCGCTGCAGGGACTGAGATGGGTATGTGCTGCTTTGGGGAGCGAGAGGGTTTCTCTTGGGACACAATCAGCAGAACTGATGGCCAAGGTTCTCCAGCCACGGCCACCTCATGCTGCTGTGGGGCTTGGCCTGCTTTGTTCCACTGGAGGTTGCTTTGGCCCCTGCCGCAGCCCTGAGCTGGAAGCGTGCATTGTAGCTTAAAGCCTAAGCTCCCTCTAAGGCTGCAATACCAAACCCCACCCAACAGGAGCGCCCGGCTCCTCCAAGAACAATGCATGAGCAGGAAAGTGCCCAGCCTGACCCTCAGATCCCAGGGAGTGGACTGGCCTGCCTGCTTAGTTATCAGTTAGGCAGATTTGCTGCAGCCTGACTTGGTCAAACATTGGCCTGTGATGCCACTTGCACAGTCACTCTTTGGAAGGAGCGCCGCCAGCTTTTCTGCCGCCCTAGGCGGCGGAAGGTCCCACCCCGAAATGCCGCCCCCCACAGAGGCGGCGGAAGGTCCCGCCACTGAAATACCACCGCGGTCGCCGCCCCCCAAATTGTAGCACCCTAGGCGACCGCCTATGTCGCCTAATGGGTTGCGCAGGCCCTGCTCTTCAGGGCAGAACCTCATTATGCACCCTGGTCACAACCGCACCTGCTGGTTCGGTCCTTTAGTCACCTGATAGCCGGGCAGGCATTAGATCTCCGACCCGGGAGCAGCCAGCACCTCTCCCCTTGCAGCGCCGAAGGAAGCCTATCAGAGAGCCCCCTATCACCAGGGGACATGCGCTCACTCTCACTCAGAAAATCATCATAAAACTGGGCCAGGCCCTGAGCCAAGCTGAGCGCATCAACTCCCTGGGACTTTGGGACAGGATCAGGCCCCACGTTTGGAAGGCTCAACAATTGTCACAGGCAGGCGAGCCCTCCAGCGGGAAGATTCCTTCCCACCGACTGCGGTGTGATGTGCGGGAGCAGGGAGAGCACAGTGGCGCTGCAGGGACAGACAGGAGCCTCAATTCCATGTACAAGCCAATGAATTATTGATACCGAGCGGGGATAAGAAAGCCTCTGACGCTAACGGCTAATCCGCCTAAGCCTGCCGTCATGGAGGTACAGCTCTTACTGGAATGAGAGCCATTAGCAAAGAGCTAATTATTCACCCCCCAGGGACTAATGCAGCGGTGACAAATGTGGCGACAGTTACATGGCAGTAAGAGAGCATAAGGGCTTGTTGACACATGGAGCTATTCTGGACCAGCTCCAGCTGTGGACACTCCTACTCTGGAACAAGAGCGCCTTGTCCCGGTTTCGCTTGATCCACTTTCAAAACCTTGGCCCATGAGGTCTCACTGTCAGCCTTTCCTGTCCTGGCAAGGTCACTCGTTCGAGCTAGTCCCTGTCCCACAAGAAAGCCACCAGCAGCGCAACATGCACACAGGCAGAGCAAAGCAAAGGCAGCTGTGCGCCGTTATCAGCCGAGCCCTGTGGATATCAGCGAGAGAGATCACGCAGCATCAATAGAAAATTTGTCTCAGAGATTAACACAAAAGAACCGTGAGCAGAAGTACATTTATAGCCTATTATGAAAGACATAATGCAGTGGATTTTGGAGTCCACTGGCCCCGAAGCCGGGAGGGAGTCATGATTCAATTGGAGGGCTGTGATAGCAGCAGCAGGGCCTCCCAAGTGAATTCAAAGGCCCATTTCAGACCTATCCCATCTTTCTTTTCTATTCTCTCTCAATAGGATTAAAATAGCTGGAGCATTCACTGTGCCTGGCCTTGCTGTGCAAATAGTCTTCCAAATGAGGCAGGGTGACTTCCACTGCCTGGAATGCCGCCTGGGCTGGTGGCAGATCGGAGAGGGAAGGGGCAGCAGAGTGCCACTTGCAGCTGCTGGCATTCCCCTGGGGGGACACGGCAGATTCAGAGCCAGCAGGGACGGCGCTGTACATCACAGGAATCTGAGCCTGCTCCCGTCCACATCAGTAGCTGACATTTCCCCAACTTCAGCGACAGCAGGAGCAGGCCCGAGGCCGGCAGAAAGCAGCTCTGGGGCAAGGGAGGTGACAGGAAAAGCAGTTAGCAGGAGAGGTGGGATGGGAGCCCACCTTCCCCTGCCAACGGGGGCTTTCCCGACCCCTAAGTTATACCTGATGTGCAATTCGCTTCACGGCTCAGAGCCCCCATGTGTACAGTTCCCCGCTGGCTGCTCCATGCAGACAGCAACCAGACAGAGCAGGCCTCTGCCTTTAACCCCTTCCTGTTGGAAGTCGGTGCTGGTGAGAGCTGTCCACTGCAGCCATGGAGACTGCAGGCCTCACTGTATCCTCTGCCCTGCCACTGGACCTCCAAGGCCTGTTTGCAGAAAGGCTGAGGAGCGGCCAATTGTGCTGGTGGCTTTTGCATGGGGACACCTGTTCCCTAGGAGCTGGGCAGGTCTCCACGCTTCCCGTAGGAACAAAGCCAGCTTAGCAGTTATGTTCTTTCCAACGAGCAGAAATGACACCCTGCAGCACCAGCCTAGAACAGGAGGTAAACGGGGCTCTCTTCCCAAAGGGATGGTAGGAGGGTACTCGGGTACCTCTCTGAGAGGAGGCTGGGGAGGCAGCAGTGTCCTCTCAATGCTCCAAGGACAAGGGGATTGTGCGTTCTGTGGCCAGAGCAGGCAGGACAACGTAGTGGGACTACATCAAGGTCTGCAGCTCCCTCAGCCTTAACACAGGGTGCATGGACCGTGCAGAGATTACAGGACCCAGCATGCAATGTTCCAGCCACTTGGATGAAGATGGAGCATTGCATGCTGGGATCTGTAGAGGCCACACCTCTCCTATAACAGACATGGGAAGGGGATGCAGCTCTCCACTGGGCAAAGTTTGGGTGTCCCAGAGATCACGTTTCTCGGGATCTTTACCTTGTACTTCACAGATGACAGGAGGAGAGAGATGTCAGGGAGCAGCCAGAGGACTCGGCACCTCAGAGCTGTGTGTATCAGCCAATGGTTCCCACAGACCGTCCACCTGGAAACGATGCAACGAAAAGCACTTGTACACAGCAGCTCGGATCAGCCGGAGATCACACAGCACTTTGCAAAGGTGGAAGCAATTATCCTCATTCCACTGATTCAGGGTGCGAGCCACTGAAGCCCTGAAAAGCCCAAGATCCTGGTACTGGAGAGGTCAGCCAGCTGCCCCACATCTCACTGAACAGCCAACGTTGCTGGCTTTCAGCCATACAAAAGAAGAAGACAGCTAGTTAAATATAGTTGGGTTGGAATCAGCTCTCATTTGTAGTCCCCACCTTGGGGGGGGGGGGGGGAGAGCGAGCGAGCGAGAGAGAAACCAGTGGCCTCCCCTGCCCCCAATTTCCCAGGTGCAGTGGGAGGGTTGGGTTTAACCCTATCCTAAAGGAAATTCCAGCAGGCTCCATTAGAATGATTCAGCTGATCTCAACTAGCTTCTGGTGGTTTCTCCTGGAGCACCACATAGCTCTGGTCCCCTAGATGGCCAACCAGAACCAACAGGAACCAAGCTGAAAATTTTCAAATGAGATTTCAGCTAAGGTTACAACATCACCCTCTCCGAGCACTGGGCACAAAGGGTACGTCTGCACAGGAGCTGGACGTTCTCATTTCCATACCGAGTAGGGTGACCAGATGTCCCAATTTTATAGGGACAGTCCCGATATTTGGGCTGTCTTATATAGGTACCTATTACCCCCACCCCCTTTCCCGATTTTTCACACTTCCTGTCTGGTCACCCTAATACCGAGGGTCTCCGACAGGATGGTACTTGGGGTGATTTGCCCCTCCTGCTGCTACACTTCTATTTTAGGCATGCTAGCTCAATCATGGCTAGCGCGGACATGTCTCCCCAAGCTGGAATTTACATCTTCCAGCTCCAGGGCAGGCATACCCTAAGCCAGTGGTCCCCAAACTGTGGGGCATGCCCCCAAGGGAGAGGTGGAAGAACATTGGGAGGGCACAGCAGGCCCGGGCCAGCCCCCACAGGAGGGGAGGGTCGTCACCCAGCCCTGCTCTACCCCCAGCTCTGCTCCCCAGCTATGGCCCCAGCCTTGGCCCCTGGCCACCAGCCTGGCCATAGCTTTGCTTCCAGATGCCGGACACAGCCCAGCCTCAGCTCCACTCCCGGCCACGGCTCCAGCCCCACCTCCAGTCTCGCTCCAGGGCCCAGACCCACCTCAGCCGTGGCCCCAGCCTCAGTCCCTGGCTCCCGGCCCAGCCATGGCTCCACTCCCGGCCACGGCCCCGGCCCCGGCCCCAGCCCTGGCCCCGGCTCCCAGCATGGCTCTGGGCCCAGCCTCAGCCCCTGCCTGCAGCTCCCAAGGTGGCATGGACAGCTCACATGAGGGGTAAGGCGGGGCACTGCCCTAAGCCCACTGCCTTGAGACTTCTAAGGGAAGGCTCACTGAGAAAGGATTTGTGGGAGGAGAGATAGCTCAGTGATTTGAGCATTGGCCTGCTAAACCCAGGATTGTGAGTTCAATCATTGAGGGGGCCATTTAGGGATCTGGGACAAAAATCTGTCTGGGGATTGGGCCTGCTTTGAGCAGGGGGTTGCACTAGATGACCTCCTGAGGTCCCTTCCAACCCTGATATTCTATTCTATGATTTTGATTGACTGGCCAAAGTCCATAGTATTCTACCACATACCCCCAGCCTTTCATATACGTCCCCAACCTCAGGCTCTGACCACTCCTTGTCATTAAAGATCCCAGGTCTCTTTTCTTAACAGCCAAGGTGTTCGAATCTAGACAAATTCCAACACAGGTAATTACATTCTGCCGCCCTACATCTCCCTTGCACTGTCAACTGCTAGGATATCCCTCTTCACTTCCTGTCCTTAACTGGTGCAGGGTGTTACTGCGTGTTGTTAAACAGCTGTCACACTCCACTCCAGAAGTGGCTGAATTTCGGTAGTAGAGGAGTGTTCCCCAGCTACAGCGTGTATAGTGCTTTGGGGTTCCTGGAGGCAGAAGGTGCTACAGAAATGGATGCCATTCCTTCTCTCTCGTGTTTTTATATAGCCCCTCTTCCTGTAGGATCTCCAGTCTATCGCTACTGTATACTACCATGGCCACAAAAAAACAAAACTGACATGATCTGGACAGTTGCTGACAAGGGCTGATGCAAACAAAGGTGAGTGAGAGAGAGAGAGAGAGAGACCTTCCCTGACCACCATGACCTGTTCCCCAGATCATCTCTTTCCATTGTAATCTCCTCCACTGGCCAACAATTGCTGCCTTCCGACCACTTTTCAACCCAGTATCTGATAGCTGCCCAGCACTAGAGCCTCTAGATCGGGGCAGGCAACCTATGGCACGCGTGCCGAAGGCGGCACGCGAGCTGATTTTCAGTGGCACTCACACTGCCCGGGTCCAGGCCACCGGTCCGGAGGGGCTCTGCATTTTAATTTAATTTTAAATGAAGCTTCTTAAACATTTTAAAAACCTTATTTACTTTACATACAACAATAGTTTAGTTCTATATTATAGACTTATAGAAAGAGACCTTCTAAAAATGTTAAAATGTATTACTGGCACGCGAAACCTTAAATTAGAGTGAATAAATGAAGACTCGGCACAGCACTGATGAAAGGCTGCCGACCCCTGCTCTAGAGTTATTTAATCCTGCCCCACTTTCACACGGCCCCACTACATACCAAGCCCTGGAAATACCCTTGCTATGAACAGACACAACACATGCTGCTCAAAGCTCAGTAGTCGGAACAGAACCAGGTATTAGGAGTCCCGCTGGGGACAGGTTACTGGTATGATCAAGTAGGGGGAGTCCCTTTATCTGCCTCCTTTATTGCTAGTGCTGTAACCTCCTCTGGTATCTCCCCCTAGGTGCTCCCAGCGCACATTAGAAATACCAACCAACCTGCACATCACCCTCGTGGGGCACATCAGCATGGCTCCTCCTTTCTACACAGGGCAACTGAAGCCTCAAGAAAAGAGTTTTGGCTGCTGCCACTGGCCAAGCCAGAACTAGAACCCAGGAGTCCTGGAATTCCCAGTCTCCTGCTCCAACCACTAGACCCCACACCCTGCCCAAGGCAGCATCACCGGAATTATGAACAAGCTCCAGCCGCCTCTCTCCCCGCAGCCGGCCAAGCAGCAACCGGCTGGGTGTCCGTGCAAGGGCAATTGCACTGCGCTCTTGGCCACACGCCAGCCTCGGCATTTGTGCTTTATTTATTTTGCTGGCTTGGAGGGCAAACCGCTTCCAGGCAAAGTGCAAACAAAGCTCCCCCACTCAACGGGCACCAAGGCAGGGGAGCCGGTTACCGGTGGGGTCGGGAGCCCTGGGGGGAGTCAGTGCCCCATCTGTCAGTGCCCGGGGAACGTGGCAGAGCCCCGAGGGCGCTGCCCCCCGCAGCAGAGCTCTGCCCTGGAGCCTGGGCTAAGCGCGGGGCCGAAGGGGGCCAGCCCCTGCCGCGTCCCTGGCGGCCTGGGTCCAGGCGGGACACTCCTCAGGGCGGAGGGGGTCAGGGGCTGAGCAGGCTCGGGGCCCCTGGGCACTGTGGGGTCCCCCCGCAGCGCGGGGCCCCTGCTCCCAGGCAGAGCCAGCAACACAGCGCCCCAGACCGGGAACAATATCCAGCACCGCGGGGAGGCGCCCCGACCCGGCCCCCCCACAGCGCGGAGGGGTGCCCCCACCCCGACCCCGTACAGCATGGGGGGCGCCCTGCCCCGGGCGCCCCATAGCGGGGATGCCCCCCCACAGCACGGGGGTGCCCCCGCCGCGCAGAGTCCCCCGGCCCGGCACTGACCCGCTCGCGCTCTCAGGCGGTTACACGCCCCCCGCTTCTCCAAGCAACAGCGCCGCCGCCACTTCCGGCCGCCGCGGGGGCTGCTGGGAGTCGTAGTTCGCTGCTCGGCCGGTCCCGCAGCGCCCCCTGCCGGCTGCGCCCTGCCCAGCCCAGTGACTGACGCCCCGGCCGTGTCGTGATTCGCCTCAAACCCCCCCCACTTCCGTGTCGTGATTCGCCTCACACAGCCCCCACTTCCGTGTCACGATTCCCCTCGATTCCATGTCATGACCCCCCCATTCTGTCTCACTTCCCCCCCCCCCCCCCCCCCCCCCGCCCCCCCCCC